TGTGGATTCATGAACTACTCACGTCTGAGTGGAGAGGTTCGGTGAGACAAGTTTGTTGTTTGTTGTTGTTGTTGTTTTGTGGTACCAAGAGAAACCCAAGGTGACTAGGGGTTGAATTGGTTTTTGAATTGAAAATATAAACGCAAAGCAGATTCCTGGAATGCTGTTTTGGTGAGAGCAGAGAGAAAGATAAACAGATTCTGGAGATGCTGTATTGGCTCGGGTTTTTGAGCGTTTTTGCCTAAATATAAACGCAACCCTGGTGTGAGGAAGTTATAAACATGAAATGAACGTTAATTGAATGGACCGGTGCGATAGCTGAGAGGTTAAATTGGTTTTTGGGCGTTTGACCTGAAATATAAACGCAACTTTGATTTGGCCTGGCCTTTGGGTGGTTTTGCCTTGAATAAAATGCAACTCTAGTTATCTTGTTGTTGTTTGTTGTCTTAGATGTTGTCTGCTTGAATTGTTGTTTGGATAAATGAGAGAGTGTATGGAAAGCTTTGCACGTGTGGTATTTATGTATGGGGGAAATAAGAACACACAAAATACTTTTTTTATTTTTGAGTAAATATGGATGACAATGTAGATCCAGGAAATGTGGAACTGGTCTGAAAATTATCAGAGGGTTGATGCAAAACGTGATTTTGATAACCGCTGATGTGTCACAAATGTATTATGCTCACGAGGATGCACAGAGTGGTGAAGAGAAAAAGGGTTGAAAATGTGAAACAGAAAGGAGGCAAGGCCTGCCTAAATAAAACAATCAAAACAGACACAGCTGTGCTCTGTTGAGCCACCAAGGTCAATTGAGGCCTGAGGCCACTTAACTAAGGCTACTTAACTAGAACATAATGATAAAAAGTTAACTCCTTGTTGCAAAATGGTCACTACAGTGGACAGTTTCTAAAAACTGTAATTTACTTATTTGTTTTTGCAATTAAGCACAGCTGTTGTGTACTTTATTGCATTTGAGACCCTCTGTGTGGACTTCAGTAAGTCCAGTCAACATATTTCATGTTCAGAATGCACGCTGTCCACTGAGGTGAACATGTAATAAATTATTTACATATTATTAGATGTTAGAAATAATATTTGTTGAAATTTGTTTCATTCACGCCCAAAGATGAATGATAATAAAAGTTAAGAAATCATGGTTGAAGATTTCATGATTTGTGCATCAAAAGGTTAGACACGACCCAAATATTTAATTTCTGGTATCTGGTGGTTAAAATTATTTGAACTATAAACTGTGTCACTTTTAGTGGCTGAAAGGCAAAGGGTTTTAGTGGAATCCCTCAGTTTGAGACATTGACTGTTTATCAGTACTTGGTAGTAGAAAGGGAGCCCAAATAATAGCTAAGTATGTAGGTTTTTAGTTGCAACCCTTGGGCTGGGAAATTGACAGTGTGATTTAACACTAATTCCAGACCAACAAAACTATGACATTACAAAACTAGTGGCTATTGTCGAATTGCATTTTATCTCCTTAATTTGTTGTTTCTTTTCTTTCTTTTTTTAAATCTTTGTTTCTGATGCTTAAAACCAAGACAAGGGAGTTCAGCAGATGACAATCGCACCCGGATGAACATAAACTGGTGGGCAGTACCTGTTGAATCCAAAAACTGCATTTTGATCACTCTAAAATATCGTTTGTAATCAATTGAATCTTTCTGGCGCCTGTCCAATGTAGGAACTTGTTCAGATCTCCGATTAGCGGGCTTTGTGATCAGAACAAGGGGAGAAATTGTCTGGAAGTAAAATTAAATCAGACAGCAGATTAAAGCTGCTGTAGAGAATTTACATTTAAAAAGTTTAAATTGGGTTAATTCTTCATGTATTCACAGCCTGGGAACTTTTAAATGTGTTGACACAGAATTTCACGTTCCTCTGTGTCTGGGTTAAACGGTAAGGTTGTATCAGAAAAACGTACATATTATAACAGACCTTAGTCTCAAGTAAGACAATATTCTATCGGCCAAGAGGCTGAAGCGGAAATCAGAAAGGTTTTGGGAAATAACTGAATGAAAATATAAAACAAAAAAAGTTAATGCTTTAAATTAAAAACCGAGTTTGCACACTTGAGACTAAGTGTGAAGCAGTTGGACAGTTGATTTGAGGTTTTCTGTCGTCTTTGGAATGTAAACTTCAACATCGGCTCATGCTTTCAGAGCCAATAGAGATAAGAGTAGAGATAAATCGGCTCGGCCAACCTTGCTCAATTTAGAATTGGGAGGACTGATTCTTCAATACTATCACTAACCCAATATCATTAAAGATTACACAATATCTTCACTATCAATTGTAGATGGATGGATTTTTAAGTTACTATAGGGTGTTCTTCTTTTACTTATGTTATGACATTAGACATCTTGAAGGCCAAGACGACCACTTGAGCCATGGGTCAAGCCCATTTATAACCTTGAAACTTTCCTGAAAATATGAGTCTCCTAAACAAATGTCCCTGTTTATGACTGAAGTTACCTAGAACTTGATTTAGTGTCCATGACATCAGTAGCAATAATTTATGATCAGAATCTAGTTCTTTACTAATTATGAACAGTACAGAAGTTATGTACATACCTCTACCTTGTGTTAGCCAATCTATATCGTTTCTTAATGAACTGTTTCTGTACTTAAATATTGAACTTCGTCTGTGTAGGTTAGTGAATATGTTCTGTTATTTTTGGTAAATCTTTACCTTGTCCCTTCTTTGGACCTAATCAGATCCACTTTCTTATCACCTTCTTAATTCAACAAGGACAGAGCAGCAACTCATTAGACCTTGACTTCATCATTGTTTTGTTATTGCTAGACAAGTATTATAAGATGACACTTGCCCTAAATGACCCTTAGATTTGATCATGGCCCGTGTCCCCTGTGTGTGTGGTTTCCCCATCTTCCACTCTTTATTCCTGTGTGTTTCTCTGTCTTCAGTGTTTTCCTCAGTTTAAATTGTGTTTCTGTTTATTATTAACTCATTCACTGCCATTGACAACTAAAGTCGTCATTTTAGATCCAACCGTTCACTGCCAATGACGACTAAAGTCGTCATTTGCATTTTTTTACTGTTTGAGCATTGGAACCAGCCCCCTGCGCTGAGAGAACAAGCATCTCAGCCCTGACGCCGATCTTCATCCTCATACGTCACAGATCACATGATCAGGAAGCAACACATCCATGTGTTAGGAGATCGTTTTGGGCCGTTCCTGTAAACAAAAGTGAGGCGCGAACCGGAAAAGCATCTGCCGATCACAATTCAACAACGGATTATGAAAGAACGGATAACGCTCGAAACACGCGGCTTCTTCCTGATGTAAGAGGTGAGTCTGCGCTTTGTTTTGGTTGTTTTGGCATCGACATCATGCTAGCGCGCAACGTTCTGTGACTCTTAAAAAACAGTAAAAACAGTGAGAAACGCTGGCAGCGAAGGCCGTTAGTGATCAGGAAACGGCTGGCAGTGAATCAGTTAAATGTATTTATCTTCCAGCCCCTGTAGTTGTTTTAGTTGTCAGCAGTATTTACGAGTTTTCCTTTAAGCTCCTCCCCTTGTCTCAGAGTCTCAGGTAGAAGTCTCACCTGTCAGCAATCAGTAATCAGCTATCAGTGTCTTGCCTTTCCCTTCACATCCCAGTTGAACCTGGTTTAGGTCACATCGCTTTTCATGTCAGACAGTTATTTACTGTTTGTGCATTTCTGTACCTTTGCTCTGACGTTTCTTATTAAAACTTTTAAGTTTAACTTGCTCCTTCTGGGGTTATCCCATTTGGGTCCTTGTATTTTCACGTTTGGTCATTTCCTTCTTCATATGTCTTCCAAGTGATACATGAATCATCTCTTTTCTGATGTTCTTATCATATTTATATGTGATCCTGTGACCTACCAGAAAGGTCAGTGACTCGCCTAAGGTGTTTAAATCTCTAACTTCTCAAACTGAAGTGAGTTATTTCACATTTTTATTATCAAATGAACATGTTGACTGCTGTTCTCCTTTTAGTTATCAGCACATTTTCTGAAAAAAGTGGATCATTCAATAAGATGCTTCTCTGCAACTGCAGCTTTCTCTGCAACTGCAGCTTTCTCATTTGGCTCCCGAACCACCGTATGAAGTAAATGGAAAGGATGGCTCCTGGATCTCTAGTGATCTTCAAAATGGCTTACAGCAGCATGTCTTCTGGAGGATAATCATATGTTTATCCAGCACAGATGGAACATAAAAATTGCATGCAGAAGGCTTTTTGTTGTAGGTTGCAAATTAAGGCACCTGAGGTGCAATACGGAAATGCTGGCTTTGCACGGTTTTCTGATCACCATGTGAGGTCAATAGAATGTAAAGGTGCTCTTCCTCTTCCTTTCATCCCAGTGCAACACATTTTTATTGTTATGGAGGAATAAAAAAAAGATAACAATTCTAATTGATGCAGTTTTTTTGAGAAATTAGTGCAGAATGCTCAACTTTAGGTGTGGAAACTCCATCCAGGGCTTATGAAACAGCAGGTGATGAGCAGCGTTTTGATTTATGGTTTGAAGGGGTCAGAACGGGACACATTCAGGTTCTGATCATTCCTGAGTTTGGGTCTTCTGGGGAAACAGTTTAAAATGTCACAGCACCAACTGTGCATGGTGCACTGCAGTGCGGAGCAGGTAAAGGTGAAACTTGCCAATACATCAAAACATCTTCTGTGATATAAAACATATATACACTCTAAATACTTTAAGACTAAGAATAATTTCCTGTGTGAAGATATAGACGTTGATTTTTAGTTATACACACTAAAATGTTTACTTTATCCTTAGTTTGATCTCCAGAGCTTACGGAGGCTCCTTTTATTGGGCTTTAACAAGTGAAGCGCATTAACATCATATTTTATCAACTGGAATCTGATAAGATTTGACATAACATCCTCTCAGTTGTCAGTTCTTCTGTTTGTGTCACAGTTGCACAAAGGGTAAGGTTTACTGGACCAACAGACCTTTTATAGAAGCAAAGGGAAGCATCCTTAAAAATCTAAGGGTTTTATTATAAATACAAGAAAACTCAATTCAAGTCAAGTTTGTTTATGCCAGTTCTCAACAAGTCATGTCAAAGAGATTTTCAAAAAGCAACAATGCAACTCAAGTTAGGGCTACATTCAGATTTTCTAGACTTTCCAGTCCATCACATTAAACTGGAAGCCCATTACATGTCACATTCACACCCCCAAACTGCTAAATTAAACTTGCTCGCAGCAGCTTTTTCAAAATAATTCCTCCATAGCTGTTTGACTAAATTTGAAATTCTATGAAACAAATTATTTAAATAATTTAAATAATGTTCAAAATGTCTTTCTGAAATGTTTGTGTTTCTCAAATTGGAAGTAAATATATTAGTTTGCATATTGTCTACAGGTGGTTCAGAATGCCTGTGCTCGGCTTCGGACCAAGTCCTCCAAACACACCCACATCACCCCGCTTCTCCTCCAGCTTCACTGGCTGCCAGTCAACTTCAGGGTTCATTTCAAGATTCTGGTTCTGGTCTATAGGGCCTTACATGGACAAGCACCATCATATATTGGTGATCTTCTCAGTCCCTACACCCCCAGCAGGTCCCTGAGGTCCAGTGATCAAGTCTACTGGTTGTGCAGCACTGGGCTAAAGACCAAAGGTGACAGATCATTTGCTGCTGTGACCCCAGACTCTGGAACTCGTTCCCCCTGAGCCTGAGATCAGTGGACTCAGTGGTCTCCTTCAAAAAGCAGCTGAAAACTCACCTGTTCAAGTTGGCTTTGGTGTGACCTTCATCACCCTCTCCTTGTTCTGCTCTCCCTACCTATTCCTCTTTCCTATTCACTCTCTCTCTTTCTTTACATTTTTGATCATAATTGTCTAATTTTTTTGCTCATTTTAAATATATTTTTAATCCTTTTCTAAATTATTTTTTATCATTTTACATTTTTTGTTTTTGTGAAGTGCCTCACGATTTTTATCTTGAGAGGAAGTGTGGGTGAAGTAAGACTCCACCCATGGTATGCCTTAACCTTTAATTTAGTAATGACAGCATTTTTAAATAATAGCTTTATTGAAGAATACAGTGGTTTTTGCGGGCATCCTCAGTTTAAATAAAGGCATTTTTGGATTGTAATGTGAGCAAATTTCCATGTAATTTCTTAATTTATTGTGTAGCCCTACTCCACAAGATGTGGCCAAAGTCAAGGTAACACAGGAGTAGATAAAACATATCCAGCAAAGAGAAACAATAAAATGGAACCAGTCCATGTTCAAACTTTTCTTCATCCTAAACGGAAGGCAAAGCAGTGAAGATGTTGAGGCAAACCTCCTTTGTTCAATTCTGCATGCAATTCTCTCAGTACACACACAACAGATAGTTCAAATATGTATAAAAGCAGCTCAAAAGTTCACAACTGAATACACAATCACAATGAATTATCCTTTTCTCATCCTGACATAAAGTGATAAAATGAACAACGACTGATTTCCCTCCAGACTAAAAATCATTTAACACTGACTTAGAATAAAATTAAGTGATTGTGCTTTTATAACCCAAGTAGAACAAATAATACAGAGACAAGATGTACATCACTTAGAAAACATTGACACTGCAATATATAAAATCTGAAGCACTTCTGTGGCAGTAAACAATTTACAGGATGGCTGGTAATGACTGTAGACCAGTTACGGGACAACAGACAAATATACAAACCGCATCAAGCAGTCACCTTGTGTAGACACTCATCAGCCATCAATTGTGCATTCTTTGTACATTTTTCATATTTTTTTTGATTACCCAGCAGTTCAGAGACCTGGAGACTGGTCATCAACAAAAGCTAACAATAAACATGTCCACAGACTTTAGAAATGAGAGCATATTTTTCTCTTTTTTTTTGTCATTTTGTTTGTTTTTTTCCAACATCAAATGATAAATTCAAAGTAGAAAAGTTTGTGCATGTGCAGTATTTCTCCATGTTGTAAAAGTCCTTTGAGACAACTGCAGGATCTTCTTTTAGTGCTCATGATGCTTCTTAGCTCTTCAGCATCTGTGAAGATAAAACAGTATATGAACATAACTGATAATAGACTGTGATAACATGAATATTTTAAACACTTTCTTATATTTACTTTCCATGTGACACTAATACAATAATCTATCACATGAAATAAAAAGATGACAAACTAATTGAAGGTTCTAAACCTATTTTTAGTTTACCTGGTCCTCCTGTCCTGTAGAGGGCACCTGTTCACACTGTTTAGTTCTGGAGCTTCCACATGACTGAAAACCAGATGAATTTGAAGCTGACTCCCTCTGATTATGACCCGATTGGAATGAGGGACGACTGTACAAAAGTATGTCCCTGAAATCTGAAGGAGTTAAACATTACGGCACGAGCAACAAGCTGACGGAACGTGAAATCACTCACTTATTGCAGAAATAATCTCCCGAGTTACCTGAGTGCTGTCGATGTTTGTTGCTTCCTTTCCCTCCTTGTGGCACTTTGTGCATCTCTTGATTCTCTCTTTGCTCTTCTCTGACCTTGTGAGGCCCAGCACTGCCTCGTCTGCCCCGGGCCTGCCCGGAGCCCATCCGAGGCAGAGTAGCCCCCCTCACTTTGTAATCACAGTGGGACATCTGACTGGAAAAACTTAGAGGCATACACGAGTCTGTGGACAAAGCAAAGCAAACATCGTTTTCTGTTCATCCCGTTAAAGCACATGGATCAGCCTTCCTTGTGTGTACCGTTACCATCACTGAAGAGATCTTTGGATTGGCAGTCCTGTTGACCAGACTGGTTGGGTTTATGTCTCCTGGGCCTTTTATGTGTTATAGCAGGACTCATGTTGCTGTCTGTTGACATGGGGCTGCTGGCTCGCTGCTGCTGCCGGCCTGAAGTCATCACACACAAAAACATTTAGAATACTTATCCGATGACCTGACAACTCGGTACAAACACGTAAACAGAGGGGTTAAAGTTTTGCTGGGTTGCTGAGAAGTCTGTTCAGAAAAATGGCATTTACATCCTTCAGAACTTTTAAAACTGCCCTATTGCCAAACTTTATAGCGTTCCATGCAAATATTGTGCTTCAAAGCATTGATTTAGCATTAAACAGGGTTAGTTTTAGAATGGCAAACATTCTTTTTCTTCCTGATTGATTTGACCCTGGATCCAGCTGAGGTACAGTACAGCTGTTTATGCATTTAAATAACAATGTAGCACAAAACTGATTGTGATTTGAAGATTGCCAACATAATAGTTGCAAAAACTAGTAAGAAAATGTGGATACTGTAGCTATATTGTCTTGCGTTAGGGTCAGTGTCCTACCTGTTTTGGGGTTTTAAGCAAATTAAAATCCCACAAATGTTTGTTTATAGCATCACAACTTTGTGACTTCGTCAGGAGCTTCTATTTATTTGAAATAAAACAAACAAAAAAAAAAAAAACGCTGTTTACTATATTATAAAATGCTTGCTGAATTTGTGGTGTTGGAGCTTTTAGGTCAGTTATGCCTAACCCCCCCCCCCCCCCCCCCACCCACCGAACCATTCAGTCGGACCATCCAGTTAGAACGTTACAGGAGGACCACTACATAACTGTTATTTTACTGTTTCACTCATCTCTCTGAACTTTTTCAAACGGCACCACCACCACAGACTGGCCCTCCAACTAATTGGAATTTTTTTATGTGGCCCTCGGCCAGGTGAATTTGAGTAGCCCTGTTCTAAGTGACCCTCACTTTGCCGTTCTTTCTCCTAACCTGCACAAAGACAAGCATCAGTGGGTGTGTGAGGCCAAAAACGTGCTGACTTGGTGACTTGCAGAGTGCACATTTAGCAGCATGAATAAAAGCAGATGAAGTTTTGTGAAACAAGTTATCAGAAGAGGGTCAATATGTGTTTTACAACCTTGTCAATGTGTCTGCATACAAAGCATTCAAGTTGCGGACCAACACCCGCTAGGGAGGAACGTGACATACGATGCTAACATGAAGGATAAGATGGCAGCTATATGAACATTTTTGTGGTTAGCCATTGGCTCATGGATGTATATGATTTCTCCAAGCTGATGCGTTTCTAGAAAAACACTGATACAGAAACACACTTAACAATCTCACTTTAATGATAGCCATTTAGGTTATATTGAAAAAAGTGTAAATGTCAAATAGTAAAACAGGTTATTTTTCACATTTTCAATTCCTACCTAAACATTTACCAAAAGGTTTCTAAAAAATAACTGTCCAACAAGCAGGGAGAAACTCCAAGAGAATCAAGTCAATTAATTAGACAATGTATTAAAGTAATTATGACATAAACTTCCATCTCACCTGCCTCCTCTGGGTACCTGCACATGCGCAGCCCCACAATATCCCGTGAAGATGCAGCTGCCTGACTAAAATCACCATCTGTGAAGAAAGAACCCTCGGAGGTGCTGACGATGCTGGACCTGCCTGACGAGATGTTGTCCTCTGATGCAGAGCCCCAGCTGTTAACCATGGACCCAGTGACTGATCTGTCCAGGTCCCCGGTGCTTGAGGCTGGGGTTTGCTCAAGCTCCCGGAGGAGCTGTTTGTGCGAAGAGGCGTGATGTGATGGCTGGAGTTTTTTGTGCTTCTGCGATTGGCTGTAGACGTTTTCCACCTGCTCTGCATCTGTTTCCTCCTCCTCCTCATTGTCTTCTTGCCCATCCATGTCCAGGCAGAGGGGTATGGAGCTGTAGGTGTGATTGAGGTGCTCGACTCCATCGTCCAGACCGTTGCTTAGGTCTTCCTGTGGCGATGTGGTAAGGAGGTAACTACGGGATATTTTAGCTGGAGACAATGCTGCTCCTCTAACTGGTGGGGTGGGGCCGCCTCCTGTTCTCTCCTCTAAATCAAAGCTGATGAAAAAAATGGTGTTGAAAATGGAAGGAAAAGAGTTCCCCAAAAAATGACACTTTTTATGTTCTCCATTGATTACTAACTAGCTTCTTAGCGACACGTTTAAAGATTTTTGGTTGTGACACTAAGACCTTGTTTTGACAGGAAGTAGTTTGAAACCGTAGAAATCCAATAAGCCACACATGCCTAAAATACTCCATGTCCTCATTCTCAGCAAGTAAGCCGCAAAACATCCATATATGTTACAGCTGAGGCTAAACATGACACATTTATTTAAAGGACTGGAGATCAGTTTGACCCAATTAGCATTTCTAAGCATTTTTATTAGTGTTTTTATTTGAATGTCTGCTGCATGTTTCTTCATGCGTCTTTACCTTCCATCCATAGGTAGACTATACTCATCACAGTCCAGGGCATTAGCATGAGGCACAGACACAGCTTCCCCCCAGGTCACAGCATTATGTTTAGGGATCTTTAGGCCCCGGACTCCTTTCTTCTGATTTTGACTGCCTGAGAAATGAAAAGCAAACATCGAGGTGAGCACAGACTGACTGCTCGCCTCATTAATATTAAGAAGCAGCTGAAGGTCTCACCTGAGGTGCTGTTGCTGCCTCTGTCTGAGCTGTGGTGCGAGCCTCCGGTGCTGTGGTCGCGGTTCTGGTTGTACATTACGTTTTTCAGGTGGGACATTCCCTCGCATCCTTGCAGATCTGAAAAACAAAAGCTAGGCTGAAGCATCTGTCTTGATATGGAAACCCGGTAAAGCACATGAGATGTTTGCTGCATACCTTTACTGTTATGCTCAGCTGCGCTGTGCTGCATCTGCGCTGCCATCTCTTTGGGTATTGGAGGCAGATTTGGCAGCTGTTTCCAGCAGGGTATATCCAGAGGCTCTGCTATGGAGCCACCAGCGACTGCCTTGTTTTTAATGTTGGCCTGGATGAGCTGCGTAGTGGCGTATGGAATGGGCTCGTATGTGGCTGATGAATCCCCTCCAGGACCGGTGTAGCAAAAGTTGGAGTTGTTAAAGGTTTTAATCTCACCAATCTGGTTGGAGAGGTTCACATCGCTGTATATGGGTGTTTCAGAACCAAGCTGCCCCCCTTGCTTGCTGTCTGGGTGGCTTCCATAGTTGGCTATGCAGTCAGCTGAGCAGATGAAAGGAAGCAACAACACAGGAAGTCATTCATCGTCATCATTTCTACTTGTTGTTTGACGATTACTAGTGGCACTGTTATATGTCCTCCTTTAAACACACACACACACACACACACACACACACACACACACACACACACACACACACACACACACACACACACACACACACACAAATTGTCAGGATCATAATTAAAACCAACTAGGTTGAAAAGCTGACCCCCCACTAAAATTATCAGCCTTGGTAGCAACTACTGAATTTATGCATTTGTGATGACTAATAATGACTTTTCTAACCACTGTGGAAGAATTTGGCCCATTCTCCTTCACAGGATTGATTTTATTCAGCCACGCTGGACATTTTGAGGTCAAAGGTCAGAAGTTATCCTTCAGGATTTTCCTGAAGGGTGAAACCATCAATTAAAGCAAGTCACCATCCAGGTCCTGTAGCAGCAAAGAAGCCCCAGACCATCACACTGCCACCATCATGTCTGACTGTTGGTTTTTCTCCAGATGCAACAAGAACACACCTCTCACAAATGGTCTCATCAGTCTCAAGAATATTTGTTAGAATTCTTACATTTATGTTCTTGTTAGTCTGCAGAAGTTCTAGCCTTGGAACTCTATGAAGCCATTACCCGCCCCTGTCTCTTTCTTAATGTTGAGGCCTTTGACCTTAACGTGAACCAAGTGTGGCCTGCACCACTTTAGATGCAATTCTTCCTTCATTCCTAAACTACAGGACAAGGCATGGTGGTTTTGAGATATTTTAGCCTACTTCATGCTGCAGCAATGTTTTATTGAAGTGTTGCTGCTTATTCTACAGGTCTGGTAGTAATCACTCCTGTGTGTAGGTAGTGAAACTGAGCCCAGCTTTCCAAATAAAGCGGTTACTTTAATTTAACAAAGATTTCGTTCACAGGGCTATCAGAAGTTAACCTAAGGGAGTATTACGCACTAACCCGGTCGGCTGTATGTTGTCATGTTGCTGTCACTGGTGCCGTTGCCATTGTTGCAGCAGTTGATGCTGCAGTCTTTATGATTGGTGCATGCATTCGGCCAATTATCCGGCAACCACAGCTGGTTTAGTGGTTCACTCATGCCGAGAGGGACAGGCCTGCAACAAGGAGCAACACAATGGTGTCAATCATCAATCAATCAATCAATCAATCAATCAATCAATCAATCAATCAGTTAGTCAATCATCCCTGTCATCTTCATCCACCAGTAATAAGTGAACATGCAGCAGATGCACACAGGACTTCAACAACAGAGAGACATCTCCCCCTAGTGTTCTCATACCATAACTGGAATATTCCTGTTAGTCTTTATTTAACAAAAAGGGACAAAAATATCAGTCACCTGCCAGCGCTGCACACAGATTCTCCTCTTTGATATGCCACTGAAAAGACAAAGATAAAAAAAGGTGCAACCTTGATGAGCTGATAGAAAAAGAGTGCCAATGGAGGAGGAAGTTATCAAAGGCACGTAAGAAGTTTGAATAGACGTCTTAAAAAGAAAAATACTTCAATGCCTGCTTCCTTCCACATAGCATCACGTCTGCCTGCTTTCATTTGCATGAAGAACACAGGTAATTACTTTCATATTCAGAAAAATAAAAAAATTGGCAGTGCCATCCACCAGTGAATGTATATATTTTCCTTATTAAATAAAATATTTTAATGTGCTGATCACATGGTTTTGATATACAATACATCTGTTTATCTACATGCATTTTTTAATAGAAATTCTGGATGAATGTAACTTTTCTGACAAATCCTTCATTTCTTGTCCCATCATGTGTACAAATCCCATCAAATTCGATTAATTGGATGTTTTCTGATTTTCGGATGGTTTGAAAACCAGTACCGGTACATTTACAGCACATGTTTAAAAACTTACTTCACCATGCTCTCATTTTCATAACAAAACATTCATTTTAACATGTATTTTCTGCACAATATTCAGCATAAATATTACTGAAAAGCCACAATATACATACCTGTGGGCGTGAAAGTGAACGATGGGACTTAAGAGATTAAAAGAGAGAGAAAAAACACAAACACTAGTAAAAATGTGATCAACTGTTAAAAAACCAAGTTTTAATCATTGATCCTCTGCTGAATGATAATCCTGATATATAATTTGTTGTGTAGATGCATTTTAAAAAGGATTCCTTATGTACAGCTTTGATTTAAGTGTCAAGCTGAAGGTTAATGAAGGCGACAGGTGACCTGACAGACTGGGGTAAAAATATTGTGGATGTGGCAGGTTGACAGGTCTGTGCCTCCATGTGAGGAAATGACACTCTACAAATAAGTGATTAAAGGTCAGCCTTTGAACGTCTACATGGCCTCAAATGCAAATGTGTTGCTGAAGTCTTGTGTCAGAGGATGATTGGAGCAGCGAATTTTTCACCCTTTGATGTGATCTGCTTATCAGCCTCTGAAAATAGACTTTAATATAACAGGAATGGTGTCTGCTTCAGTGGGGTGGCAGCATGTCATGGTTTGATTCATCCTAAAATCCCACCTGAGTTTGTGTTCACTCTATAGGTAGAGGCTGTTTGGTTTACATGTCTGCATGTATTGGTCCTAAACAGTGATGAGAGACACACCCTTACGGATGCCGGTGTATGTGCTGCTGAGACCACCCCTCTTCTTGCGGTGACGGTAGAGCCACACACTGAAAATCATGAGAATCAGCCAGCAGGTGGAGCCAATGCCAGCGATAAAAGCAGGCTGCTTCACCACATCTGAGATGTGTGTTAAAGTGTCTCTGCTGTCTCTGATGTCCACCATCTGCCCCGTGGAGTCTGATCAGCGAGGACAGAAAAGACGCAGGCTGATCAAACTTTGCTCTGAAACTTTAAATAATAATAAGGATTCAGGACTGAGCTAGTACCTAACTGAAAGAAAGCAACATCACTCTTGACTCCTGGTCCAGCACCATTGCTGGCTGCGACTTCTACACTGTAGCGAATTCCTGGAGCCAGACTGGGAATGAGCACAGAAAAGGTGGAACCATCTACTGACTGGTTTACGTGGTAGCGGCTCTCGTTGCCCAGACACCAGACCTGTCAGAACACAGAAAAACAGATTCAGCAAAAAAGTCTGATCAAATTATAAATCCCAAATAAAGCTGAGCTCTTTTTGCACCTTGTACTCCTGAATGATCCCGTCTTCCTGCTCTTCCGGAGGTGGTTTCCAGGACACGAGAATAGCCGTCCCATTAGCATCACTCTTTGTAATTGTGACGGCCTGAGGGGCTCTTCTAGGGGCTGAGATGGTGAGGGAGAAAGTTACAAACATGTGGGGGGAAAGTCACTGTGTTGTTCCCATAATAAGATATGTCACCTTCTTCCAACGTCCTGACCACCTTCACCTCGCTATCAGCTCCCTGGAACTCATCGAAGAAAGGCCGGACTTTGAACTCATAGATGGATCCTCTCTTCAGCTGACTGATTATCACCCCATCCTCCGGAGGAGCACGTACCTCCAGGGCACCCCACTGCACCTCTGGCTGGCCATGCTCTGCAGACACCCTGTAAAGCACCTTGTAGCCTTGGATATAGGGTGACTGCTGCTCAACCTATGGAGATGCAACAAATGATACATCATCACCTGCCACAGGTCACAGGGTCAGAGATTTTACATGATTTCCTCACATGAAATTGCACTTTCCTCAGAAGAAATTCCTCCATGTCAACCACAATTGGAGGTCATTAATAGTTTCCACTCAGCATGGTTTGGTTTAAAAAGCCAAGCCAGAATAAGACTAAGCACTTTCCATTTAAACCACACTAATCTGGCAAAAGCAAATTTCTGTGGAGACACTAGCATAGAAAAATGCTGCTTGCAGAATGGTATGTGTTTGTAACAAACTGAATTACATTAGTCCAATAAATCCAGTTGCTGCTACTAAAGATAAATTCTCTGACAACTTACAAGCAGAGAGAGAACATGCAAAAGTAGTTTCATCCAAAATACAGTTTTAACTATTTCGATCACTGACATTCTGAAACTTAGCTGAAGTCAACGGTCATATTTTTTTATAAATTTGCAGTGGTCTCCAGTAGGAATGTGTAACGTAAATACAATCATCTGATTAAACATTCAAAGATCATTCAGATCAATATTTCACATTTATATGAAATTATCACATCTTATTGATCATTTTAATAAATTTGTAGTCAATCATCGTCAGTACATATGAAAGCTTTGTAAATCCTGCCCTGGGGGAAAAAAAAGACTGGATTTGGAGTCTTATTTCCTGATACTTGGATATCTTGCCTCTGATTGGATAACATCAATAAGACTCTGCCACTAACTGTGTTTGCTTTGAAATGTTCATGTTTTATCTCCACAAATAACACAAGCCTGAAGGAGTTCTGCCATGTGGTGGAGTTGCTAATGCTAACGGTTAGCTTCTACTAGTCGAGACGTTCTCTGCTGTTTCCTGGATGTTAAACCAACTACAGCCTTCCCTGTCGTGAGTCAAGATGGGTGAGTCCATCAATGTTGACAGTGCTACGTAGATCATTCAGGCTTTTCACATCCTAGAGTTTCACCATCTATTTTCTATCAGAAGCTAATGCAAGAGACAGGCGTAGAAACTATTTTTAATGTTCAGCCTGCATGAAGAACGCAGAGTGACTGATTATAATCAGAAATAAGCATTTAAAATTATTTTTTAAATGTTTTTCAACAGAAGTTGTCAAAATCAGACTTTGCTTGGATGTTAGGAGAAAAACTGTGTGATTAATGTTAAACGTATAAATGTGTTTCAAGGCCTAATGGTTGACTTTTACTTGCTTTATTTAGGTAAAGATGCAAGTACCGTCAACTCTGAAAATTTACCATATTTGTCCTGACTTTGGTCACCCTAAATATGACACAGCAGTAAACGAGTACAGAATATTCTGTCCCCTTACCTTCCACTTTAGCCTTACAGCTGAGGACGACAGGACAGTTGGTGTGTACAGGTGGATCAGGACATCCCCCAGCTCTCTCTGGATGTGACGATGGTCGACACCCTGCATGGTGGAGGTGCTGTCTATGTACATAAATGAAAGGAAAGTATTAGAGTTATCCTCAGCTATCTGTCTCAATAAAACCAGTATGCAGCTTCTTTGCAGTTTATTTTAAAGATGTCAGAGTAGTGAAGTAGAAAAAGATTAATTGACACTGACCCTGCGTTCTGACTGAGTCAGAGATTGGACTGGGATCGCTGAGGCCGTGAGCGTTCACGGCCCTGACCATGAAGAGGTAGACAGCTCCAGGCTTCAGGTTTGTCAGAACAAAGGTCTCCGCTTTCACATGCTCTGCTACTGTCACCCATCTGTTTCCTAAAGTGTAACTACAGAAGTAGACGAGAGAACGACAACACATGACCACAGGGAATTATTTACAAAAATGAAATGATTCTGGATTCTACGTGAACATGTAACTAACCTGAAGGCCTCAATTAAGAAAGCCACTGCTGGTGCATTGGTGCTGGATTTCCATGACAGCACGACGGATGTCCGGCTGATGTTGGAAACTTCTGGTTTAGATGGAGCACCAGGAATCAGGGCGGCGTCTTTAGGATGACTTGGTTGTACAGCAACCCCAAATTCTACAAATGAGAAACCCACAATTTGAATAAAAAATAAAACCTTCTGGATTTATTAGTAGGTGCTGGTTACTCTTGCTGTGCTTCTAGACGAGTAACCCACCTTCTACTTGCAAATATGCAGTCCAGGAAGCTTCTCCACTTGGACTGGAAGCCACACATGTGTAGAAACCTGAATCACCAAGCTGAGGAGAGAAGATGAAGCGGCACACATTGGTGGGATGGTTTGGTTCTGTTTAAACCAACTGATGAGCTACTTCTGTCCTTACTTTAGCATAGTGGATCTTTAGGGATCCAGTTTCTGTTAGAGACACTCGTGAATCCACAGGAGACACCATCATACCGTCCTTCTTCCAGTGGACTGTAGGAGGTGGAGTACCAGCCGTTTGGCAGCCCAGATTTACTGTGCTGTCTACAGAAACCGTCTGATTAACTGGGCCCTGTCTAACAACAGGAGGGAGGTGGTCGGACCCAGCTATAAGAAAAACAAAAGTTTAGAGTTTGACCTTAGTTTATTTTCATTTCGTACACATCACAAAACACTTTTTTTCTATTGTGATCATAACTGACATTAAAGTATGATACGACTTTAAAAGGTGATGTCAACTGGTCATTATGAGCATGATTCACTAAAAAAGCTGCAGGCCAATAACTCTGAGGACCAAAGATTACACACATATACGCATCAATGATCTGATTTTTCCATATGTTCCTAACAGCACACCTCAATTTCAGACTTCAGGTTTTCTGGTGGTTTCTAGAATATCCCCAAATATGTTGGGAGGCAGATCTTTTAGTCATCAGGCTCCTCTCCTGTGGTACCAACCCTCAGCTTTAGTCTGTGAGGTAGACACTTTGCCAACTTTTAAGACTAGGCTTAAACCTCATTTTTATTTCAAGGGCTTTTGGTTCAATTCTGTGGTGTTAGCCCAGCTGTGAAGGTATGGCAGTAGAGGGAGGTGGAGTGTACACCAAGGAATACAGTTGGTAAAGATGGTTTTCCTGGCCCTGCCTCCTACATGCCTCCTCCTAAAAGGCTAGGTTGACCTGAGTTATTTCTGTAGTTGTGCTGCTATAGGCTTAGAATGCTTGAGGACAGATTAACCACTTTCCGCATTCTTTACTTCATTCTACAAATACTCTCTAACTGTATTATTTCATGTTATTTAAACTGTTTATTTTTTCTCTAAGTGTTTTTTGTTTGCAGAGAAGCTACACCAGGTCTGGCGGTCTGCTGAGCTGTGACATCTTCCTAGAGGGGGCCATCGGCAGGCACACTTCTGTCAACCGCTGAACATTACTTTCTTCATCATTAAAAGTATTACTACTAGTTCTGTGTGTGTGTGTGTGTGTGTGTGTGTGTGTGTGTGTGTGTGTGTGTGTGTGTGTGTGTGTGTGTGTGTGTGTGTGTGTGTGTGCGTGCGTGTGTTTGTGTGTGCGTGTGATCTGTCTTCTCAAACTCCCAGTGAGTTGTGGTGGATGTCTGCTCATACTGAGCCATGTTCTGCTGGAGGTTACTTTCTGTTAAAGAGGAATTTTCCTCCACTGTAACTTCATGCTTCCTTATTACGGGGATTGCTGTAAAGTCACTGAAACAACAAATCAGTGACTTAATGCAGTCTGCTGGGTTTGGTTTGAAAACTTTTAACTTTAGTCTTTTCAAATGACGACCTGAACTCATTGCACTGATAATTAGGTTAAATTAGAATGTTTGTTTTGTAAAGTGCATTCGGATGACTTGTTGAGAATCAATGCTATATATAAATAAACTGAATTGTTTTGAAATTAATTGAATAACAGAGAATATGTAGTTATTGAACAAATTAACAAAGAAAAAATTGTTACAGTCCAAGGCTGAGTTGCAATGGGTGTTGGAAAAGTCTCATTAAGAAATCTGTGTCTACTACATATTATCTACAGCGACTAAATTAATTTTAACTGTGATGAAGACACATAACTTGTCAAAATGTTAGTTTTTGTTATTTGCACCATTAATATAGTTATACTCATTTGAGTGCTCCAGTTCTCATGCTTCTCAAAATTAATTTTAAGTTTTTGACATTCTGGTCAACCGTTTGACTTCTATGAAAAATGAAAAAGTGGCATGTTTACAAAAAAGGTTGAATAATTTTTTTCTCTTATTACCCATAAGAGGGGAAAACGTTAGGGGAAAAATGTTTTTAATTGCAGGATTTTGGATTAGTCATCATGATAAAATTGTTTCACGGAGGTAAAAAGGAAATAAAAGACTTTTGGGTGATTGAAATGTCCATCTCTCAGCTTCTTACAAGTGTTTATTATTACACCGTGGAAATGTATATATGACATGTTAACATCATTGAGTATTGATGATTAATAATGACAACAACAACAATAATAACAACAGCAACAATAATAATAATAATAATAATAATAATAATAACAATAACAACAACAACAATAATAATAATAATAATAATAATAATAATAATAATAATAATAATAATAATAGAAGTATTGCTAGTTACCTATTTTTATGTGACAAAATGGTGGTAAAATTGCATGCAAAGAGTAAAGATGGTGCTACTTTTAATCATTAAAATTGACTTATTCTGTTTCCTTTCTCTGTGCTTCTTTGCCTCTAATTTTGTACAAAACCCAAAGATAATCATGACAGTCAAAACGATAGCAACACATTACGAATATAAAGTGGATGCTTCAAAAGAAGTTAAAGTTAAACCCAAAAAAGGGATAAAAGTAAAAGATGAAAAATGAGAAAATAAAAATAAAGTGGCAAAAAGCGATGAGATGTGGAAGATATTGAGAGGAAAATGGGTAAAGCAGGAGAACAATGGGCTTAGGTGGGAGCGCAGACAGTGGTGAGAAAAAAATAGAAATCAACTTTTCCCCTCCAGCGGAGGGCAACTAATCATTCATTGGGTAGAAAGTACTGCTGGAGATGGATCCAATCATGACGGCAAAGCCCAACTAATAACAGTTCTACTTAGATAACAGAGCTCTCTCTCTCTTTTCCTCTCTCTCTCTCACACACACACGCACATTTTAAAACCCAATGGGTAGGGGTGATGTTTTAGACAGATAAATAAATAAGAAATGCCCCTAAAAAGTGATGGAGACATGCTTTGAAAAGTGCCAGAGGTAATGTGAACCAGCCATTACCATAAAAATGCACCACTCCAACTGGGGATGAAAGGAGTGTGGTGGGATGGAGAGAGTTTGGGCGAGAGAGGAGAGAAACAAGAGTTGAAGCACAGATCTGTGCAGACCACTAGAAAAATAGAAATCCCAAGTGAAGGCTCAGTGTGTGTGTGTGAACGGCTGCCAGTCTTGGACTCAGTAGTGTGCAGATGCTTTACTATCTATTAAAACCTGAAGCCAATTATCTCCATTAAAATAATGTATGTACATTCCCCGTGTAACATGTATTCATGTTCACACAGGTGTGTAATTACTGGAGAGAGCCTCCGAGCGCAGTTAGATTGCTTTTCTGAAACCATTAACACAGATATTTCATCATGTCGGATTTGGATTAGAACCCCCCTCAGATCCCTTTCCAGAGAACCAGAGAGTGACATTAAACAGTCTTCATCCAAAAACATCTGTACTACAACAGGACAAAGACTGCTGTGTTCATGCTGACTCCATTAAATTAATATCATGTATTGTGTTCATGAAACGTTGCAACATTAAAACACGACCGATTGTCTCAGTGGGTTGAAGCTTCTCCTGCAAAGCCCTTTCCAGGTGCAGTCTGCTTGATTTTGTCTGACAAAATTAGCATTAAATCATTTGTGTGGGAGCATTTTTGGGTTGAAAGAAAATCAATTTGAGTCATTTTAGTTTGTCCATCCTCACTTTTGTGAACTTCATCTTGAGAGGCTCAATATAAAAGATTTCTTTCTTTCTTTCTTTCTTTCTTTCTTTCTTTCTTTCTTTCTTTCTTTCTTTCTTTGTGAATTCAATGCGACGTATCAACTGTTGAGATTAAAGTTTTCTAACATTCTCTGGACAGGAATCGCCTAGGATGCGCTGCATCTGTCACGTTTTGTAGGAGGTTTGGACCAAAGATGCAGAAACCCAGGAAGGCACGGAGAGTGAGATGTTGCAAAAATAAATAATCCTTTATCTGAAGGGGGGTTGAGGCAAAATCCAAAAGACTCAAAATCCAAGGGAGCCAACTCAGGATCACAAAAACTCTTAATAAAAAAGACTTGTAATGTTCTCTAGTCTAGTTTAACTGAATGCCTTTTGAGTCGATCTCTGTGGGATGAATGCTATGTTGCTAGCGAGAGAGGTGGGGGGCTGAACATGACAGAATTTGGAGTTTTATTTCCTGATATTCTGACATCTCACCTCTGATTGGCTAACAGCAATGCAACTCTTCCACTGGCTCCATTTTCTCTGCAACGTTGATGTTTTATTTTCACAAATAACACGAGCCTGAAGGAGCTCTGCCAACTGGTGCAGTTGCTAATGCAGTTAGATTTTACAAGCTGAGATGTGCTGTTCTCTGTCCTGGATGCTAAACAGCAGCCTTCCCTGTCACAATGGGTGAGTCCATGACAACTTATTTTCTGTGTGACTTAGATTTGATTGGCTTTTATAGACTGAATGGTTCCTGTTCATTTTTGAATGGTGACTAATGCAAAAAATAGGAGAAGGCCGCTTTCATGTTTAGTCTACATGTTAAACTCAGAGTGACTGATCATATTTAAAAAAAATAAAAAACTAAATTCAAGTGGTTTCTAAGTGAACTTGTTTTTTTAAATCCTAAAGGTTTTTCTTCAGTGAATGCCTGCACATTTTTGACATTCTTTTGTAGATGCAACTAAATTGTCTGATACTCAAGATAAATTGTTTCCTGACACGCCTGCCCTCTTTTTGTGAAAGACAAAAATGACGTCTGGCAACGGCACAAACATCTTTCTTTAGAAGAAAGGCTTTTAGCGCATCTACTTGTTGTTTTCAAGGCATTCAAGTCATTTAAACAGAGTAAAGAGCTGCAGCGAACTACGCTTCAGTCACCATGTTTATGACAAACTCACCGTTATGGTGTGTGACGTACGCTACTCAGTGCTGATTGGCTTGGTTAGAATTCTCAGGGGGTGGGGTTATTTGAATAGGAGAGTTCCCAGACCTGTTTCTTATCTTTATCTGTTTCGTAAAACTTTTGCTCAACAGCAGTTTGCATGGACATATTTTTAATGTGTGCTTTAAATGGAAGGGAAGTAGCCTGGCCTGCTAGACTACTCCTCTGTTTAATTCTGCAGAGAGAAAGGGTCTTTACTCTGTTCTAAATGACTTGAATGTCGTTAAAACAACATGTAGAAGCACTAAAAGCCTTTTTTCTAAAGAAAGATGTTTGCGTCGTTGCCAGACGTCATTTTTGTCTACAGCTAAAAAACTACAGCGTCGCGCGGTACAGTCGGCATTTCAGTCTTTTTTCCAATTGGTTATTTTTGAGCTGCCAAGTCCCGCCCCTCATGCACCTCTCTGCCTGTGAGTTACCAGACTCTTTCTCTGAGTAGAATTAAACAGAGGACGAGTCTGACAGGCCATCACTTGTGCTTTTCAATAGAATCACAAAATGAAGCTCAAAAGCACTTTTGGAATAAGTTTATGTTTATTTATTTGGCAGACGATTTTATCCAAAGCAACGTACAATTTTTAACCTATAGGACATTTTGGGATCTGTGGGGGAAACCAGAGTACCCAGAGGAAACCCAAGCACGCATGGGGTAAACATGTAACTTCACGCAGAAAGGCCGCAGCCGAGTTTCAAACCTGCAACCTTCTTGCTGTGAAACAACAGTGCTAACAACTGTGCCACCATGCAGCCAGCTTTGTGACTATGAAAATGTGCAAAACCCTGATTTGCACATGTACAGTATGAGCAATCCCTTTGTGAGTTTAGGTTCTTGAATCTAAAATGTTTTGTTAAAAGTTTTATACAGAAAACATTCAAGTTTAATGTGTTTTTAGTGTTTGGGCCCTTTTTAGACACACGTGTTCATGAGCCAAGCATCAGACACATATCTATTGATAAGAACTGCTCTACCCAGACTTCAGATTAACCCTCTCAGGCTCAAAATAAGTTTAGATAAAAGGACGAACAACTAAGTCCTTCAGGGGTACTTCTGAGTTAAAAAATGCTCATGAAACACGTATGTTGGGTAACCAGGTAGGTAGGTTTTAACTGTTGTAAATCTGCAACGCCTGCCTCCAGAGGGTTACGGTGGTAAAAGTGCCTCATAATTTCAAAATATCCATAATTAACAAGAAAATATGCAGAAAACATGTCTGTTCAATCAAAAGACAAAACAAAACTAGAAATGTGATGAACAAATATCACCTCATCTGCCATGCATTGTTTATTCCCTTTACTCACCATCTGTAACTTCCAGCAGGGCTTTGGTAATCACACTGCCAGCTATGTTGAGAGCCTGGCAGATGTAGAAGCCAGCATCAGAACGCTGGACATCAGTAATGGTCAAACTGCCCATCTGAGAGACAGACAGACGACTGAAGGGCTGAGGTGGCTGGTAGGAGAACAGGAGACTCTGGAAAAAATGCACATTTCCAGTTAGAAACCTGCTAATTATATTTATTTAAACCAAGCACTTATTTTCTCTCACCTCACTGCCTTCCCTCTGCCAGAAAATAGCAGGCTGTGGGTTGCCAGTGGCTTCACACTGGAAGGTGACTGTCCTGCCCACTGACACCACCTGGTTCCTGGGGCGCACGATAAAAGCAGGGGGCACTGCAGAAGAAGAGAAGCTCACATTAATTAGCAGTCAGACACGTTTGTCGGTCTCAACTATAGAACATCCCAGAAAGAGATCAAAGCAGTCCAGGTTTTTACCTTTGTAAATAAAAAATCAGCTCACAGTCATTTATCAATACATAACATGCATTACATACTACAGCGGTGGATGGGATTAGACAGGACAGACAGAGGACTTCCTGTTGCTGCACGATGATGGATGAGACAAGGATGACAACTTACCAGTATGGACTACAAGAGAAAGAACACACAGAGAGAAGTGGGATGAGTAAAATAAACTGATATGAAACTTAAAAAAAAAAATAATTATTAAAAAAAACACAGGAACATGCTTTAATAAGTAAACACAAAGAAACTAGTTTTAAAGGACGGACACTACGGTCCTTCTTCTATTGATTTACATTTTTTGAGCTGCATGTGTTCTTTGTTCTTGATTTTTTTCCACATGTGCAGCTGTTTAACGGCTTATTTGTCCAGTTGTTTTCATTCTTTGAGCAGCCTTTACACATCCGTTTCGTTTTGGGGTTTTGCTGTCATGCAGCCATTTGCTTCTGCTGGTGGCTTTTGAGTTTTGCATTTGTTTACCTGACTGATGTTTATGGGAAGACAATCTCAGACTGTATATTTCTCTTTCTGCTTATTTCAACAACCATTTCGTTAATTGCAAATTACACCCCCGATGAAGAAAGAAGGTGAATTTCTTAGTCAATAGCTTAAGCAAGGTTCTTAACCTGCAATTCAAAGTATTTCTGTATAATTCAGACTGGACAGTAAACATAAAATATTTATTTTCACCAAAGCTGTGGACCTCAAAGAAGATTGTGGCCTTCAGTAAAAGATTTAACAACAAGAAAGGTTTGTTAACCTTGATGGGTGCAAAAGGACACAATGATTAAAGTCACAGAGTCCTTAGACTTGTTTCCACTATCGGAACTTTCGGGCCATTTTTCTGGAACGTCACGGTATATGCGTGTTTCTGTTTCACCGGGTCGGCCGAAAGGGAACATTTTCTAGACCATTCCAGGGATCATCTGTGTTCCTTAACTGGAGTATGTACTTGGAAATGGCCAAGTAGAGTCACTGGGTGGGATTTAGTGGGAAGTGATATTTGCAGATGTTGCCAAAATAACCAGCATTTGTTAAAGAATAAAACCTTTAATGTTAATAATGTTCGTGGACGCCTAGTGGCGCTGATTAGTAATGTCACCCACTGACCAGTGATGGCGATTTGCTGACATCTTTATAAAGTCCTGAAAGGACCAAATTTCAATGGAGACCAAGAAGCAAACTACGCCTGGTAAAAGTGACGCCAACGTGGAAGTGACAATAACTGCAGTCTCCCCCCTCATCCACTAGGGGCTAGCTTGACGCCCACGTTAAAAATACCAACTTCACATCTGAAATAAACATGTTTACAGTCTCAAAAACCATTTTAGGTATAACAGGTCAGGTTTACCATCATGACAACATTTTTTTTTTGGGGGGGGGGATTTTTTTTTCTATCTCATCCATTTAGATGTAAATAAAACTTGAAAGTATGAATGACTAGGGTAGTGTCCTTTTGATTGACAGGTACCCAATGAGGCATTGGCACTAGCACTACCGGCTTTCTCCAAGGAAGGCCTCAGCTTCACATTAAAAGTGTTAAGGCCTAGAAGGAGGAGGAAAGAAGAGTCACTCAACTGTAGCTTTCTGGCTAAAAGCAACAGCCAACCTCAGTTAGCTTGTAGCTACTTTGGCTCAGAGTTTGAGAGGTGTCAATCATCTACCCCCACCCTCACAGCTCCACTCTCAGCTCCATTTTTGTGTATTCTGGGAGTGATGACACACGGCCAAGGTGGCGGTGGTGGGAGCTGCCCACTGGGCTTCAATTCAGCTTTTCAGGTGATACGGAAGAGGGTTGTCCATCTTATATACCAACACATTCTCACACCCAAAGCATCTAAAACTGATGAAGGGTGACCAAGCATTTTTTTTCCGACACGTTGGGGCTCCCATCGTGTCGGGAGGCAACGCACTGTGCCAGAGTGTCTCTTTCCGATGCTCGCGGTAAAATGTAGATTTTAGCAAATTGTGACCTTTATCATCTTGCAATTTAACCTTCTCCTCACCTCCATCCTAACTTTAACCCACTTGCGCATGCAAAAACTTGTTTCTTCCTTTCTTTTGTTCCTCTCAAACACGGTTAATGGGAAATTTAGGACAAGAAACTGGGTTAAGGTTAGGATGGGGGTGAGGCGAAGGTTACTTTGCCAGAGATTAGAGGTTAAATGTCAGTGAAATCTCTGTTTTACAGCGGGCGTTGGAAAGAGACGCTCTGGCACAGCGTGTCGCCTCCCAACGCATTGGGGCTCCCAGTGCGTCAGAAAGAAATGCTCGGTCACCCTTCATCAGTTTTAGACGCTTTGGGTGTGAGAATGTGTTGTATCATTGATGGAGACACCATGGTTGGCAGGACCAAACCAACGTATCTCCTGGTCACTTTTCTCCCTCTCAGGAACTTCCTGGATAGTGGAAACACGGCTATTGTTGCTTAATGATGACTGTGATAAGAAAAAGGGGAAAAGAAGGAACATTTTATCCAAAGGAGATCAAATAAACTGCTGGTTCTTTAAATAAAATAAGCTGCATATATCAATCAAATGAAGAAAAAAACTCCACCTATTTGAATTAGCACATGATTGGTTTTGAGTGAGTTTATTTTATTTGTTGGAAATCACGTGCATTTTTCTGAGTTATAGCTTAAAAAATGACTAATCTAGCCCCCCACCCCCCACCCCCGACTTCCAGTGGCACACATGCCCGATGATTTACGATTGTGTTTATAATCAATCTGAAAGCTTCTAATGAATATTTAACATATTATAATCAAGATCATGTTTACAATAGAATGTTGAGTGGAGCAATAAGCTGTTTGCTGGAACAAATAAGAAAACTGAAAACTAATGTGGATTCGGAGGAACTGCTCAACTAATTTACAACAAGCAAACTTTATGAAAAATATCGTCCTACAGGCATCAGAATCAGATGGATATTAAAATCCTACATAAAGGTCTAGGAGTAGTTTTCACTCTATTGATTTTAATTTGATTTAAAACAGCAAGCCCATTTATTTTCATTTAATTGCGAGTTGGTCATATATTTTTGTACCTCTATTCCTGACTACAATACTGTCCCCACTCTACTGGAATATGGTTGCTCCTCTCCATTTCTCTGCTAAAAAATTAGCTGCGGTTTCCCTTGAAGCCCTTTTTTCTTTAGTCTGCAGAGGCAAAGGAAGACAATGTAATTGGAACCATGCCACTTCCCAGCAAGCCACCACAGCTACCTTATCTTTAATTAAGTCCTACTGGCCTCAGTATATTTCTCCCACTGCGTCGCAGCAATGAGTTTAATTGAACCGGTCTGTATGTGCAACTTTGAGCTGCCTTGCCTCTTATTTTTACCTTCACACATCTTAGGATGTCACAGAGATGGGAAAACTTTTCTTCATTTATATATTTATTTGCAGATCCATATTAACATTTTCTAGTTGGGAAAGCAACATAAACTCCTGCAATAGTACACTGCTCGTTATTAAGATAGACTATTTGAGGTGGATGTTGTATTTTTGTAATTGGAGATGGCATAAAAACAAGAGATGACTGTTTTTTTCTCTTCTGTCTTAAAAAGCAGCAACCAGAGTCACAGCAGCATTAAAAAGCATAATTGTGCCTGTTGTCATTTAGGAACTGTCATATACTGTCCCTAAAAACTTAAATCTGTGCTGTACCAGTGAAGGAGCGTGAGCTATACTGACCGTGCACAGTGAGCGTGGCAGATGCTTCGGACTTCCCAACCATGTTCTCCACCACACACGTGTACGAGCCCTCATCTGATGAGGAAACCTGGCGAACAATCAAAGTGTGGTCCTCAAGGATTTCAAATCTGAGGGGCAAGATGCACAAAAGAACTCGGGAGATAAAAAATAAATAAATCTGAAACACCTTGTTTGCATTGTTTCACTGCAGAGGGCCTGTGTCAACTACCTGCCCTTTGGTAGGTCAGAATCATCTTTCCTCCAGCGGACAGTGGGGACAGGGTCTCCTTGAACCACGCAGTGAAACTCCACACTCTCGTCTGCCAACAACACCACACTGCTGGGACGCTTCACGAAGGTTGGTCGTTCTGGAGGGCAGCGCAACAGGAGAGACAAAAATATATGCAGTCACCAGACTCATCATCAACCCAGCAGTGGGAACTGAAAGTGTGAGAAAGCATCCAAATCTGTTTTAGGCAAGTGTGAAGCAACTTGGAGTGAAGGAAAATGTGGTTTAGGTTAAGATAATAAAGCACCATGAATAATACTGAACTTTGTGTAGATATTAGGCTTTGTTCTGAAACCAGTGGTAATTTTTTAGTGTTCTTTTAAACAACATTTGCATTTTCTTCCCATGAAAACATGGAATCTCTCAGGAGTACCAGCCCCCCCCCCATCATACAGATTTAAAATGGCAGCACCACATGTTGGTCTTGGTTGTGCTTGGACTGCTCATCTGTGTTTGAACTCCTCCTCTTCCACTTGTCCTGGTCTGGGTTGGAAGGGCAGCAATCCTAGTTAGGAAGTCCAGACTTTCCTCTCTCCAGGTGCTTCCGCCTGCTCCTCTGGTGTGTATTTGACAAAAGCATTGCCACCAAGAGCGCAAGGTCCCCAGTTCACCATGAGATTGCCTCAGACAAGAAAGCACCTATAAGGCCCCTCAAACTACTCTTCCATGAAAAGATGGCGGTTCATGGAGGAGTTTGTCAGTTCTATTGATCATAAACTAGTTTTATGTGAACAGAAAAGCTATGAAGTGACACTTTTGGAATGGTTAAGTAATAAATTATAACTTTTACACAGAAACACACTTCAAAATAGCTAATATATTCTTCAATGTTTTGATCAAATGAAGATAGAAAACAAAATCCATCAAAAGCAGAGTAACAACTCTAAATCTAATATTAGGTGGAGACAAAGTTCAATAATTAACCGCCAAATTAATACTTAACTTCCTGAGACCCAAAATTGTTTTTGGGTGTGATGTAAAATAACATTTCATGAAAATATTGACTAATTTCCTAAAAACAAAAAAAAAGCAATAAAAAGTCAAATGTTTGAACTTGAATTCAATATCAAGTTTCTCTAAATAATAAAACAAAGGTCTAAGTTGAACAGAATAAAATATTATAGTGCAAGAAGCCCATGTCCTCGTATGTGGATGCAGGGACTCAGGAGGATCCATTACTGTTGATCCAAGCTAGAGTTCAGTCCATTTGTGAATTTGAATTGGAATAAAGAGATTGTTTCTGCTGTGCCTTAAACCAGCAGTGAGACATGTAGAAAATACTCAAACTGAAAGGAAAAATACTCACTAAATTTACCAATGCTAGGTGGCTCCCTATGATTCAGAATTCTGATTTGCATTCTTATTTGGAGATTAATTCCTCCAGCACCAGGATAATGAAGCCCAAATTATCCCAAAGGCTCTGCAGACCTCGAAGGCCAGAGAACAAGGACTGCTGACTATCGCAGGCCTTCATCCTCAGAGACATGAGCTCTGATCATAGAGGTGAGATTTTACCAAAAAAATAAATAAATAAAATAAATAACTACTTTTTGTCATTAATGTACAATTTGACCAGACCCAGCAACACAAAAATAATAAAAAAAAAATCTTTTTCAATTCACAGGAGTTACCTCTTACTTTTGCTGAAATGATTTATTGAGTTTTGTCTTTCACCAACTGCTTACCAGATCCTTGACAGCCTCCAAAGTGAATGTGCTTACTGGGTTTAAACAAAGGAGATTAAAAGCCATTTCAGAGAAAACGATGCACATTTGCAATCCAAACCGGGGTCATCGATCTAACCATGCAGTGTTGATAAGAGCCCCATTATGATGGAAAGTGTTAATAAAACAAGTGGTGGATAGGACCGAGAGTGGAGGGTGCATTTAGGCATTAGAGCGTGTAGAGTGTCAGAAGCTCCGCTCCATGGGGAGCTCTTGTACTGAAAGGCTGTGACACTAGATACGGCAGCAGTCCACGTTTGGTGCTTGTTTTGTGGGAAACCTCTTCAGAGCTACCAGACTGAACAGGAAGTGCTGCATGGCCTACATAATTAACAGGGTTTCATTATATGCCAAGGACAACTGTTTAATACAGACCAAAAAATAAAAATAAAAAAAAATAATATGAGCTGAGAAAGAAATTAGACCAAGCAGAGCAGTTACTCACAATGTAATGCAATTACAAAGTATTACCTAGCACGGTGAGCTCAGCCGTCTCGCTCTCCCTCTCTCCCACCATGTTTGTGGCCACACAGATGTATTTTCCTGCATCATTCTTCCTGGCGTTGGTGATCATAAGCTTGCCGCTACGGATCTAAAGAGAAAAAAAAAAAAAAGAATGTGTGCACAGTTGTATTTGCACAGGGTCCTGATGTTTGCAGAGTGTGTGAGCTACTGATTGATTACAGCATATTCACAATGGGCATATTAATCCCACTGCAAATTCAATTTGCCACAAATTAAAATTCTCACAGCTATTTACTCTCAGGTGTGATGGCACCTGCATATAAACTAATCCTCCTTTTGAAATTTAGCATATTTTCATGCACTTGATGGTGATGCTGCATATGAAGCTACATCTAAAATTTTGTGCTGCCTTTCAAGCTGCACAGAAGGTCACATATTATAAAATTACATAATTCATATCTAGTGCTGCACAAAAACCCTGGGAACAAAGGTGCAGCCTCTTTGTAGAGATGTTCCTCAGATGTTCTGTCAGCCTGCTTTGCCTTTCCCAAACTTTTCACCTTCTCCACATACACACCAACACAAGGCATACCCACACACATAACAAAGAGGCTGAAGGCGTGCACTCCTGCATGCTGTCTTCTCGGTCCTCCACACTCCCACAGACTGTAAATGTTTTTATGGTGCTTTGAACTAGATCTTCTGCACTGATAGTCGGTGACTACTCAGTGTTAGAGGTGATCCCGGTATAACACTGAGTAGATGCGCTTCTGCAGATGGGATAGCTCGCTGATCCAAAGACCTAACCAAACCTCTCTTTGCATTCACAGATCCAAAACCTTCTCCCGGGCTTTGGCTTCAATTAAACTTTCAGCCCAGTTATTATGCTTCAGGATTTCTTCTTTCCCCACCCACACTCAGCTTTAGAATCAGAGTGTTCGCGTGCGCATGCTAGAAACACACACAGCACAAAGCAGCGCGGCCATTTCTGTGCAGAAGTCACAGGGTCAAGGTTGCCTGCAGTGCTATGTTCATAAAGCAGGCACTGTGCAAGATGGCACCTGGCTCGCTGGGTACTCTAAAACCACCACCCAGTAGATGGAATAACCATTAAATTGCTGCTGCAGGGATGAAACCAGCAGCCTCTCATTTATTAGTCAGACTCCTTCAGGCTAACCTTTCACCACAAAAAGCTCAGGCTGTCCAGCAAATAAATAACTTTGAAGAGAGGAGCTAAATGCAGTTGACGTTCCCAATCTGCTGCAAACGATGTGGTTTTAAGAGGAAAATTGAACGAATCATTGTGTGACTGGTCCTTACGTGTGATTTATAAAGCAAAATGCCTGTTTCTAGTAATCACAAGGAGGAGCATATTTTCTGTAGAGTCAGCAGCAACTACTCTAAAATACATGTCTGATCTCATTCCTGTAAAGACACCCAATAGGGCTCTGAGATCTCTTGGAAAAAATCAGCTGGTAGAACCACGGGTCAAATCAAAACATGGTGAAGATGCATTTAGTTACTATGCTGCTCACATAAGGAATCAGCTTCCCCATGACCTCAGATCTGCCCCAACCGTAGTGTTGTTTAAAACAAAACTAAAAACCCTAATGTACTCATCAGCCTTTAACCTTCTCAGGCTCAAAATAAGTTTTGATAAAAGGACGAACAACTAAGTACTTCAGGGGTACTTCTGAGCTAAAAAATGCTCATGAAATACAAATGTGGAGTAACCAGGTAGGTAGGGTTTAACATTGCAAATCTGCAACGCCTGCCTCCAGAGGGTTAAATGAATTGTTTCTTATCATGTGTCGTCTCCACTGTAATCTGCGCTGTAACTTGTCTTCTACTTTAGCTCTAAACTGTAATTCCATTTGTATGTATTTTAATTTATGTTTTTATGTTGTTTTCATATCACGTCCTGATAATTGTAAAGCACATTGAATTGCCTCTGTGTTTGAAATGTGCTCTATAAAAAAAGCTGCCTTGCCTTGCCTCTAACCATTTACTGAACTAGAGTTAGATGTTTAGACTCTGATTAAAACCAATATATACATACATACATACATATATATATATATATATATATATATATATATATATATATATTCACACACACACACACACACACACACACACATATATATATATATATATATATATATATATATATATATATATATATATATATATATATATATACACATATATTCCACTTTTATTTCATTCAAAAAACTAAACAAAGCAATAAGAAAACAAGTATACCTATGCACCATACTATTTTAGAATGACAATTTTACATACATACATATACATATTTACATAAATATGATTACTTGCATGCCTAATGGGCCACTTTTATTCATTAATGTGTTTTGAATTACATACAGAGAATTCTTATTATTAATAATTACTTTTATACAATGTGTTTTTTAATTATAATTTTTATTATATATATATATATATATATATATATATATATATATATATATATATATATATATATATATATATATATATATATATATATATTGTTACGGCTACCAGTCTGGCCAGTAGGATCCAGGAGCCAGGATCACCCAGCCCTGGTGATTAGCCGGACACCGCCCCTCCTCCTCCTCTCTCAGGGCTACTGAGGAGCACAGCTGAGCCGAATCTTGCTGATTACCAACACCTGTATAAAAAGGCTGTGCCTTCAGCAGTGTGGGAGGCAGCAGTGCAGGGGTTCTGCTGTCCTCCTAGTCTCGTTTGGTTTAACCCCTCTCGTTGTGATGAGTTTTCAACTTTGGTAGTTTTAACTCTTAGTGATGAGTTTTAGGATGATCCAGTGGGATCTTGTGATGGTTGTGTTAAAGGTTAACTTTGTTTGTTGCAATTTTATTGACTTCGGTTTTTTAACACCTTCATTTCGGTAAAACTTTTACAGTAAGTTTTAACCAGGTGTTTTAATGTTGATAATTAGTCTTGTAATGTTAACCTTTTTGAGAGTTTTGTTCGTTTTTTGCAATATCTTCATAATGCATGCCATCTGTTTGCTCATTTTTAGAACCTTTTATTACAAATAAAACTATTTTAAACTCCACTGTTATATTTCTTATGTTACCCCCTCCTTTGCATTTTAACATCTCCTGTTGGGGACGTAACATATATATATATATATATATATATATATATATATATATATATATATATATATCGTCTGGCCACAACCCATAGACAGAGTCCAGTCATGGGGTGTAATATAGTTTTCTTTCAAACTTCCTCCACAGGTAATTGGACATTGCTAGGACCAATCAGACCAACTAATAATGTGACTAATTCATTGCTAAAGAAATCAGTCAACGGTGCAGTTCACCATCCACTGTGAAAGGATGAGAAGCAAAGACATCCTTTTTCCCAAAAGAAGACTTAAAGCTGTAATAGCAAATCTGCAAAAAAAAAATGATGGCTCACACAAACATGCTCAGGAAACTCTCACCCCTCCCGTTGGCTCCCATCCGTTAGCCACGTCCACCTGATTCCAAAACCCACGTTGCCTCAGTAAAAGAGAGAGCACTAAACACCGGTCACCATTTTCCAGGTCCAAACATCTTTGAAGTCTTCAAATTGTGTTTTCCTTTTTGGGACTCTGGTAGTTTGTTCTAAAGTTGAAGTGGTAGCAGCTGGCTGTTTCTCCATCTCTGATATCCTTGAGCAAAGAATCTCTCACACCAGTGGTGTCCTGTTGCTAAATGCTCAAGTGCGCTATGATGGAGGACCCAGGGAAAACCGGAAGTGCATTGGTTCAATGAGACCGACAACCGGATGGTTGGCTTGGGACCAAGCCCAGTTATTAGCTGAAGTTTTTAGACGAATTCCAGAGAACCACTTCATTTTTTTTTTCTTTTTATAAATCTCTGTACATTCATATCTATACTATGCTAGAATCATTTTAAGAGGCATGAAAAAACTTGTTTTGAAGATTAAGTCATTCAAAGTTGATACCAAAGTTGTTTCAAACGAACATAAGATGTTATTGGAAACATGTTGTAAGCTTCTCGTGAGATTATTCTTGAGGCAAATTAGTGTATAAATAATGTCCCAATAATTTCACAATTTTACCTCAGTTTATTCACAGCTCTGTCGCTAACCTCTTTCAAGATGGATTTATGTTTCTTGTGTTTTCTGACTCACAGAAACAAAATTGAGAAGCTATGGAAAAGCATTAAAGACCGTTTCTAGAAGCCTGCAACGACTCTGGAACATGTTTACATGGAAGCAACAACATGAGAACTCTGTGGACCCTTTAGAAACTCTCTCACAGAGACCATCTGTAGTTTGTCAACAAAAGACGTAGCCCTCTGAGACTGACCGTAAACAACAGATACAATAATTATGCTTCTGGAGTTAAATTTCACAGATAAATTAAACAGTTTCATTAAAATCTGTAGCTCACACTTCATAATTAATAGTTAATAACCATAATTACTATAAGGAAAGCACAAAAACCAATGGAAGTAGCAGTGAAATGGCTTGCTGTGCTCTCCTTTGGTTTTTGCACAGTTAGGAAAGTCTTTAAGAGAACGCTGCCGACAAAGGCCCATTTCCAAACAGCAAAGATGATTAGGGAGGACAGGGACAGGCACATGGAAAGTACAAAGCAAAAGGCAGCCTTTGTATTCCCCTCAGTGGAGTCCCCCCAGCCCCCCATAGCTCTGATCTGTTCCTCTCTTTAAATCAGAGCGAGCTGCTCTGTCCATCACAGTCCCCTAGAGAGCCTCTACCTGTCACTCCACACTAACGTGAGCTTTGAATCCTGTCCTGTTTGTCCCCACGAGCACACACACGTTCATATAAACAAATCACACACTCAGACACTAAAGGGGAAAGCTAAGTTGCTCATCCTTGCTGTTGTTCTTCAGGTAAATGAAAGAGAGGCCCGCTCCTGCTTGCCTATGCTTTTCAGACACGTAATTGATTTCATGTAAAGAAAAACTGCTGTTCTGTGTGCATCTTGACAGCTTCATATTAGGATTAATGCCCCACTGCAGCTCATATGATCAAAGTGGGTTTATTATTAAGTATATTAAAGCAAAATCAAATTGAATCGCTTTCGGAAGCACAATTTATTAAAATTAGGCTGAAAAAGAGAGGATTTTTAAAGTTTTCTCTAGAATAAAATGGCGAGCATGTCTCTGTACCATTATCCTGTAGACCAAGCTAGTTAAATCATCGTCTTACTCTGTGTGTGTGTGTTAAAGCAGGCCAGCTTGGTTTTGTATGTTTTGGCCTCATGCTTTATGAAGAAGGCTGCGCAGTGGCGCAGTGGTTAGAGCTGTTGCCTTGCAGCAAGAAGGTCCTGGGTTCGCTTCCCAGCCTGGGATCTTTCTGCATGGAGTTTGCATGTTCTCCCTGTGCATGCGTGGGTTCTCTCCGGGTACTCCGGCTTCCTCCCACAGTCCAAAAACATGTGTTAGATAAATTTGTCTGTCTAAATTGTCCGCAGGTGGGTGTGTGTGTGATTGTTTGTCCTGTGTGTCTCGGTGTTTCCCTGCGATGGACTGGCTCTCTGTCCAGGGTGTACCCCGCCTGATTGCCCATTGACCGCTGGAGATAGGCACCATCATCTCCCCTAGCATAGCTGCTACTTACTAAATGGCCTGATTTATGGTGTTTCTTTCCTCCTGAAGGAAGGTTTTAAAGTTTGCTGAACTTACTGCTCTTTTCCCTCAGTTTTCCTCTGTGTCTTGTTTGATTACTTCCCTTTGGGTGATGCACATTTGTAGTCCTGGACACATGTGAAATCCATGGCACATAGCAAATGGATTAGAAAATAGCTCTTTTAACCCCATTAACTTGCATTACATGTTTTCATTCTTCTGGAGACGCGTGGTCCAAAAGTTGATGAGCGTGATTTAGGCTCCCTATAATAAGTTTCTGAATTGTGACATCACAAACAGGGAGTTTTGGAAACGGCATGTTTTAGGCACATAATTCCTAAAACCAAACACCGACAGAAAACAGATGGACACCATCCATCAATCCTTCTAGGATTAGGAATGGACTTATTAATCAACAAATATATGTATATATTAATAAACTAGTGGGAAGTTTACTCTAAATCCTTAAAATATGAAGTTTCACACATAATGTCTTGCTTTTGTTTTTAAAAAGTGTGAAAAAAATCATTGTCAGAGTTCTTTAGAGTGATGTGTGATCTTTCAAGGGAAAATGAATGTTTTTACCGTTATGCGTTCATCTCTATCATCCAGGTTGGATCCATCTCTCCTCCAGGAGATGGAGGGTTCAGGGTGTCCACGGGGGGGTTGGCACTCCAGCACTGCGGGTTCCCCAACTGCAACCATAACATCGATGGGATTCTGCCTGAAGTCATCGCGTAAAACTGGAAAATACACAAACAGGAAGCACCATTAACAAGATAGAGTTTAATGATGTTGAAAGAGGAATCTATAAAAGTAAAAATTGCAACTTGTTGTATTTGTGCAAGAGAATACCTTTGTAAGGTGGGATTAACCCTTTGGTGCAAAATGGTCACTACAGTGGACAGATACTCAAAATTGTTATTTATTTATTTTTGCTATTAAGCACAGCTGTTGAAGACTTTATTGCATTTGAGCCCCTCCATTTGGACTTCAGTAAGCCAAGCCAACATATTTCATGTTCAGAATGCACGCTGTCTACTGAAGTGGACATGTAATAAATTATTTGTAAATCATAAAATTTTACAAAAAATATTTGTTGAAATTTTTTTCATTCACACCTAAAGATGAATGAAAAAAATTGTTAAAAAAAATCATGGTCAAAGATTTCATAATTCATGCATCAAAGGGTTAATATACTGGGGTTTCTTGTGGAAATCTCCTCAGATAAAAACAGGGACCACTGACTTGATGCTGAAGACTCATGGCTCTCAAAAGGACACAAAGACGAAAGAGTCCACAGCAGCAAAGCCCATCAGAAACGTAGGATCAGATAAATCTAACAGCAGGAGGTAAAATAAATCTGCCATAGCATCTTTCCTCCATAAGTAGCCCGTTTGCTGATGAAGCAGCCAGAAGCTGAACTGGAGACCAAAGAAATTCACATCCAATCCAAAAGGGTGTTATTTCCGGTGGTTAAACTAAAGCCTGAACTGTGATGCGTCAAACTCCAAACCTCTCAAGCAGCACAAGGTCACAGCTTCAAAATTTATCACTCTGGCCATCATTTGCATAATTACAACGGGAAATAGAACGAAGCTGAAGCGCACAAAGACAGATGGGGATCAACGTAAAGTTAACAACTTTCCATTCAATGTGTGAGAAGATTCCTGCCTGCGGTGAGGTGAGCAACTTGTGCGAATGCAGACGCTCGTGCATGATTGACTGCTGTTGAGCATTTCCCAGTGTTAAATTACAGGGGTGGGCTTAGAACCCAAACAGGCAGAGGGAGTCGCGCCAATACATAACAGCAGAACTTGGTGGACTCAAGTTGGGGTGAAAAGACAGGAAACAATGAAGGGAAAAACATAATGACTCCCAGATGGTGGTGACCCTTCCACCTCTGGCAACAGATTTCTATTTACCACCAAGCTGGGAGGCCCGGGACGGCTGATGAACGCTGTGTAAGAACAAATTGGAATGACCTTCTAATTGGAACTGTTTCTGCTCTTGCAAGTCACTTAGCTGTACTCTGATGCTCTGAACACATTTGCGACTGGCTGTCTGCGTTTGACTGAAAAGCTGATGAGAAACAGCTGTCTGACGACACCCCCCCCCCCCCCCCCCCTCCTTTCCCCACTGCCAACACCGCCGTGTCACATGATAAAAGGCCTTCCTCGTGGGACATAAAAACATGGTTGAGGTTACCTCCGACAGGAAAAAACCAAGGCCATCACATTGTGTACTGTGTGTGTGTGTGTGTGTGTGTGTGTGTGTGTGTGTGTGTGTGTGTGTGTGTGTGTGTGTGTGTGTGTGTGTGTGTGTGTGTGTGTGTGTGTGTGTGTGTGTTCACTGATTGACTGATATCATCTTATAATTCCAAAAGCAATCAGGTTACACATCTGCTTTTACTATTGTGTGAGGTCCAAATGTTTCTCTGGGATTTGAAAGCCAGGATTATTTTCTCAAACACGTTTGGCAGAAACTTAAATTTAAGACAAGGTAAGATGATGTCAGATTAAAAGCAGTGGAACCTAGGGAATATTAAAAGGGAATTTTATTTTGGAAGTCAAACTGAATAGCAAACATGCAAATCTCACGTTAACACAGATAAACTAAACATGTTTGGAAAACTGATTTTAAAGAGACAGCATGTCGTTTTTAGCATAAATCTCTAGAAATATCCATCAGAATGTTGTTGAAAATGAATTAAATGATACCCAGTTGTTGAAAAATATTGGTTGCTTTGTGACATAACCATAAAAATTGGGTTAAGAATACATGGGAGCTGGTCTCTAGGCGATGCCGTATTAGATGCTATGTTTCCTTCTACAGGAGGACAAAACGCGTTTACTGATTTGTAACAAACAGTTACAAAACTTTCACAAAAATAAACAATCAAGTATGAACAAGAGTCTGCTTCTATACCTGCAGAAGGAGAAAAAAGAAGACACACAGCAATACAACAGGAGCAAACTATTACTGTGTCAATCTGATGAGGAAATATAAAATCAACATTGTTTTGCTGAACAATCACGATAATAAATCACAGTGCATTAAGTGCCAACCACAGCCTTAAGACATGTGTTGAACGTGCCCAAGTCCATAGTTATGAGAGCACCATGTGAGCACCTGTGTGCGTGCCCACGCTTGCATATGTAAGGTTTCTCTATAGGAGTGTCCAATAGAGAGTGTGAGGGGCCACAGATCTGCCCCCCATAGATGTGTAGGAGATGGAAGGAGCTGCCCCAGAGTGCAGGGACCCCAGGGAGACTGCGACCGGAAATGCTCCTGCCCCCCTCGAGAGGCGCAGAGGATTGCCCCGGAGGGCCACAACCAGCAGCCGGCAGAGTCCCCGGGAGATATCAGCTGCAAGCCCACAGGCCCGCCCGCAGCCTCCCACCCCCTAGCTGGCTGAGCCCGGAACCCAACGACCCGTGACCCAGGGGTGACCAGCCCTGCCGGGGACCCAACAGAGCCCAGGGACTTGGATCCCACCAGGCAGCCACCGGGATTTATCAGGCAGACTGCAAAAATCTTAAACCCCCCTGACCCGGGAGCCGCAAACACTCAGGCAGACCAAAGGCACCAAAAATACTGATTGCTTGCAATGATTTAGGCATGTACTGTGCCAGGAAAAATACATTCAGTCACATAATGGTAATACGATGGAGTAAATATTGGAATTATTTTGTTTCAACCAATTTAAAATGAGTCTGTATAGAAGACTTATTCATGTTTATGTTTAACCTGATGCAGACCTCAGTTTGGGAAAATCTAGTTTTACCTATCAGGACTAATGAACTAGGGGGTACTGTTGAGACAAGTGGACTGTTGCCATATTAAAGCAATTCCAAACTTTTAAATTATCCTTAAAAATATACACTGACTTCAATGTCAACATTAATGTCAAGATCTGAGCACAGTGAACACCTAAACACATTGGATTTCTTAAATAGCAGCAATGCACTTTGGTTTTGGTTGTGGTCAATCTAGCTGTTAGCTCATCAATCCTGTAGGGTGTAAATTCTTTGTTCTAACAGAGATAAGTAGTAAACATATATAATATTTGCATAAATTTTTTCTGATATTTCCTTCCTGGAAGAGAAGATTCTGACATCATGACTTTACCGTTTACCAGTTTAGCCAAGAAACCATGCTAAAGCTGACTACAGTAACACAGAGACTGTGCAGCTGGCGGTAAGACGTTTCCTGTTTCCTGTTTTCAGTGTTGCACTACGTGTAGCTGTTTGGTGTTTGGGGCTCGCTAAAACTGATTTAATTTCTCTGTACTAGGATATCTCTGAGTTATTGTAGCACATGGGCATGCTAAAACACACATTTTCTGTTGTTCCACCTAGCTTTTAGGGAACCATTTGAATTTGCACGCAGTTTATTTGGTGTTGAACAGTTTGCTCGTCCAGTTAGCTTAGCCTCAGCACGGCTATGGCTACTTCTGTCTCTGCTTCTCCATCTCCTATCTCTTGCTCTCTGTGTCAGATGTTTAGTTACTCCTCTGCCTCCTTTAGCGATAATGGTACGTGTAATAAATGTATCACTTTTGTAGCTTTGAAGGCGAGGGTGTCGGAATTGAAGTCCCGGCTCCGCGCTGTTGAAAAACCCGTAAACAGCCGTAGCTACTTAGCTAGTGCGGGGCTAACTAGCTCAGAACCACCCCGTAGCGATCCTCCAGCAGAACCCGAGCAGCCGGGACCTCAAGCCGGCTGGGTGACGGTACGCAGGAAGCATAGAACCCAGCCCATGGGCCACCACCAACCCGTCCACGTTTCTAATAGATTTTCCCGCTCAGTGGCGCACCCACTGACAAGCCGACTCTGATCATTGGCAGCTCCATAGTCCGAAACGTGGCATTAGGGGCTCCAGCAACCATAGTTAAATGTTTACCTGGGGCCAGAGTGGGCGACATTAAATCTTATCTGAAACTGCTGGCTAAGGATAAGCATAAATACAGTAAGATTGTTATTCACGCTGGCGGTAACGACACCCGGTTACGCCAATCAGAGGTCACTAAAATTAATGTTGCTTCGGTGAGCAAGTTTGCCAGAACAATGTCGGACTCCGTAATTTTCTCTGGCCCCTTACCCGATCGGACCAGTGACAACATGTTTAGCCGCATGCTGTCCTTCAACCGCTGGTTGTCTAGGTGGTGTCCTGAAAACAACGTGGGCTACATTGACAATTGGAAAACTTTTTGGGGAAAACCTCGTCTGATGCGGAGAGACGGCATCCATCCCTCTTTAGATGAAGCAGCTCTTCTTTCTAGGAACATGGTCAGTTTTATTAATGGCATTTTATTTAGTCCTCCATGACAACCCAGGGTCCAGACCAGGAAGCAGAGTCGTAGTCTAACCCACCCCTCTGCAGCCACTACCCCATAGAGACAGTGTCCTGCCCACAGCCAAAATCACACAGATTAAATATCAGGCTTAATAAAGCAAATCATGGAAATCTCATAAATATTAGAACAAATTCAACTGAGCAGAAAACTAGAAAAATTTAATGTGGGTTGTTGATCCATTTTTTCTAAGACTTTGTTAGTTAATGACTTGATTTGTGGTAATCAGATCTCTTTGCTCTCTCTCACAGAATCCTGGCTGCAGCAAGAGGACTATGTTAGCTTAAATGAGTCGACTCCTTCAAATTATTTAAATCATCATATTGCTCGAAGTACAGGGTGAGGAGGAGGAGTAGCAACCATTTTTCATTTGGATTTATTAATCCG